GATCTTACACCTAGTTAGATGTAGTTATGTAAAGATAATATAGCTACTAAACGATCTTACACCTAGTTAGATATATTTATGTAAAGATAATATAGCTACTAAACGATCTTACACCTGGTTAGATATATTTATGTAAAGATAATATAGCTACTAAACGATCTTACATCTGGTTAGATATATTTATGTAAATATAATATAGCTACTAAACGATCTTACACCTGGTTAGATGTAGTTATGTAAAGATAATATAGCTACTAAACGATCTTACACCTAGTTAGATATAGTTATGTAAAGATAATATAGCAACTAAACGATCTTACACCTAGTTAGATATAGTTATGTAAAGATAATATAGCTACTAAACGATCTTACACCTAGTTAGATATATTTATGTAAAGATAATATAGCTACTAAACGATCTTACACCTAGTTAGATATACTTACGTAAAGATAATATAGCTACTAAACGATCTTACACCTAGTTAGATATAGTTATGTAAAGATAATATAGCTACTAAACGATCTTTCACCTAGTTAGATATAGTTATGTAAAGATAATATAGCACTAAACGATCTTACACCTAGTTAGATATAGTTATGTAAATATAATATAGCTACTAAACGATCTTACACCTAGTTAGATATAGTTATGTAAAGATAATATAGCAACTAAACGATCTTACACCTAGTTAGATGTAGTTATGTAAAGATAATATAGCAACTAAACGATCTTACACCTAGTTAGATGTAGTTATGTAAAGATAATATAGCAACTAAACGATCTTACACCTAGTTAGATGTAGTTATGTAAAGATAATATAGCTACTAAACGATCTTACACCTAGTTAGATATAGTTATGTAAACGATCAGTTCTCGTTCTTTCTTTCAAATAAAGTACTTACTTTTCAACTTCTTTATGGTTATACTTGATAAGATACGGAGCTAATTTCTATCTCTGTGTGTCGGCTTTCTGATCGGACGACGTCTTGATACGATCTGGAGATGCGAGTTGACTTCCAGCTCTGTGTAAGCTAGAATATTAACAACGCTCAAAGAAAAGCGCCACCTTCTGGTTGGCTTCTAAATCTTCACGCCCAAGAACAAGTGTTTTACTGAGTAATTGCTTCCACATGAGAGAGATGGGAAGAGCTAGGTAATATTTACATTTAAAGAAACCAAGAAGCTCTAGCAGGAAACTACTTTGAGTAAAGTTACGGTTTAAGCTGCACAAGTTTAAATTTATCTAAATTTCATTAATGTTTCCCTTTTCTTTTGTTTCACCTTTGTCTCTTTCATTTTCTTATTATCTGGCTTTACCCTTTCTTCGTTTGCACATTACGATATACTTATTACACAGTTTGTTTACACATTACGGTATATTTATTACAAAGTTTGTTTGCACATTACGGTATATTTATTACACCGTTTGTCAACACATTACGGTATACTTATTACACAGATTGTTTGCACATTACAGTATACTTATTAAACAGTTTGTTTGCACATGACTGTATATTTAATACGCAGTTTGTTTGCGCATTACGATATATTTATTACACAGATTGTTTGCACTTTACGGTATATACATTATACAGTTTGTTTGCAAATTACGGTATATTTATTACACAGATTGTTTGCACATTACGGCATATCTATTACACAGTTTGTTTGCACATTACGATATATTTATTACACAGATTGTTTGCACATTACGGTGTATTTATTACACAGTTTGTTTGCACATTACGGTATATCTATTACACAGTTTGTTGAATTTAATTTTGAAATAATTAAACTTTTGTTCATTCAAAATTGTGTGTAAATTTACAGTATTTAAACCACAACTGTAGAGCTTCTGGTCACAGAAGAAGGGTTCGAATCTCGATCCTCGGTTTATGTGGACTCTGCTAATCCAGCAGTATCTCCGTTTCCTAGTTCCTTAACTCAAGTTGTTCTCTTTTATTCGGAACATCTAATTGTTTCACTGTTCGCTTTTATAATAAATGTTTTGATTCGTCTTCATATTTATAATTCTTTTTGCGATTCTTTCAGTAGATTTAACATAAAAACGCGTCTAAGGGCGCTAGTTTCCTCGCTGTTTTTTTTTTTTCCTATCCCCATGCAATACATAACATCCAAAGTGTTTTTCATCATTATGCGTGCACTGTTTGACTGATCAAGTTACATTAATAGCTAGAAAACATGCTGTAATGAAATACGATCACGAATACAGTAGTCCTAGTGAGATGTATTAAGAACTGTGGAAATACATTCCTAGTTTCGAGTCAGATTTCAAGTTTCGATAATTTAAAGTTATTCAGCATCTTTCTAGTCATTCCACCTAGCGGTTCTGCGGTAAGTCTGAAGGCGGACTTACAACACTAAAAACCGGGACTCGATACCCTTGATGGGCACAGTACAGATAGGCAGTACATTGTGTAGCTTTGTGCTAAAACTACAAACAAACATAAAAACAAAAATTTGATTCATACCTGAAAATGAAACGTGAAAATAAGATAGATTTTGAAAACTGTTAAAAGTTTACCGAATAAGCTGCTATGTAATTAACACTCTATATAACATGTTCTTTCTACTTATAATATCCGAACCGTCATTACAACTATATCTGCACTCTTATTACTACCACGTAAATCATGTTCTTTAAATTCATTTCACCTTTATCTTCATCCTAATTAGTACCACGTAAATAACGTTCTTTCTCTTCATTACAACTATATCTGCACTCTTATTACTACCACGTAAATCACGTTCTTTCTCTTCATTACAACTATATCTGCACTCTTATTACTACCACGTAAATCACCTTCTTTCTCTTCATTACAACTATATCTGCACTCTTATTACTACCACGTAAATAACGTTCTTTCTCTTCATTACAACTATATCTGCACTCTTATTACTACCACGTAAATCACGTTCTTTCTCTTCATTACAACTATATCTGCACTCTTATTACTACCACGTAAATAACGTTCTTTCTCTTCATTACAATTATATCTGCACTCTTATTACTACTACGTAAATAACGTTCTTTCTCTTCATTACAACTATATCTACACTCTTATTACTACCACGTAAATCATGTTCTTTCAATTCATTTCACCTTTATCTTCATCCTAATTAGTACCACGTAAATAACGTTCTTTCTCTTCATTACAACTATATCTGCACTGTTATTACTACCACGTAAATCACCTTCTTTCAATTCATTTCACCTTTATCTTCATCCTAATTAGTACCACGTAAATAACGTTCTTTCTGTTTATTACAGCTGTATATACAGCCATTGACGAAAAATCTCTCTAAACAGATTCAAAATATCACGTGCTCTGTCATAAAACTGTCCACAAAATAAAAAAAAACACCTCTCTTAAAAGTTCTAGAATTTTGGCTATGTGAATCCACATTAAACGGAGCTTTGTGGATTTTTTTTTTTCAGTTGGCAACTCGTTTGTTGAAGATATTTATAAAAATACTTTATCTTGCCGACTTTAAAACTGATATATATCCAGTGTTTTAGAAGATTAGTTTATGTTTTTTGGTGTGTTCAGAGAGAAAGATCTTATTTGGCATGTGTACCTTTCAGGCGAGAAGGAATATAACTCTGTCACGATCTTTAGTGAATTGGAGCAGGAAAGTTACGTAGCTAAACAGTTTTTATAACTTGAAGTTATTTAAGTTCAAACTCGAGGCTTTAATTCACGTTTTTATACGGATACAGCAGTTTTTGTAATGACTTTCAAGGTGAACGCTATACTTAGAACAGTGCTCTACAAATACCTATAGAAACGCAATATTATAACACATTCGGTCAACAGTAAAAAAGATAATTTCCGGTCAGTGGAAACAGTCCAATCCTTGATCCCATGGCCATCAGCCAAAGTAATCCAATATTTGTTGAAAATGTGACCTTTCGTCTCTATGAAAAAACTTGCGTTGAATTATGTGGAGGTAAATGATACCAGCTTATTGGACTTTTCTGTAGTCACGTGCATTTCACTTGTAAACAACAGTTCGTACTGGGTAATGAATGATAATACATAACACTGAGTATAATAAACTTAACCCTACATATATACACATCAAACATATAGAAAAATAGTACAAATAATCCTTGAAAGTCGTCCAGAATAAGCAATAATAACAATAAAATTACAATGATTTAGTAAGCTAGGTTTTCAATTTATAATGTAGCTGTTAGATACTGTTAATCACGATGATTTAATAACCCAGAATCTTCGTCTAGCGTTTGGAGGCAAGGGTGCAGTACTTATAACTACAAGTAGGCAGTTAGTGAAATTAATGAGTATTCAGTGAGCTTATGAGTTTATTGTCAGAAAAATTGTTCACAGTTCAGTGTTAGAAATGAAATTTATCGAGTCTATTCAGATACTGGAAATATTAACAATGAAACCACGTAAGTAAGTTTATTTGTGAGTTAGGTGTACTTCCCATTAGTCTTGGACTTTCCGTTGAATCGTTGTTTGTGCACTTCGGCCTACAAGTGAAAGTAGCCT